GGTCTTCCTTGTAGGCGTATGGATATTATCTTATCACTGACAGCATTGTACTTCAGGACAGATCTTGAAACATCCTTTGTGATGATGAATGCGGGCATGGTTGTAATGCCCGCAATTTATCTACACTCCCCCATTTCCACCTGGGTTCCTTGATTCCATCCTTCCACTCTGTCCTTCCCTGACTTCTCATCTTTTCTTTTGGGCAGATGTTGTCCTTTGGTCTCATACAATTGATTGCTGTAAGGATCACTTTCCTCACTGGTGGTATTGTTTACATACAGACTAGTCTATTATTTGGCTAAAAGGTGACCTTAGGAAGTGACTTCAGTTCCGAGTTAGAAGGGTGTCTTAGACAATAACCTCGAATGGTTCTTCAGTCTCTATCAGACCACTAAGTCTCATCTTTTTATGTGTTTGCTTTTTGTTTTACATTATTCTCCCATTCTAATCAGGACCTTCTGTTGTGTTCCTGGTCAGAGCAGTCAGTAGTGGTGTTACCCAGGTACCTTCTACTTTTCCTGGTCCCAGGCTAGAGGAGACTGTGTTTCATGTGGGCCACTAGCCCTTTGGACTAATAGCTTCCTTCAATCTTTGGTTTTCTTCACCTTCCTCTATTTCAGACAGGGAGAGAACAATTGTTGTATCTTAGATGACCCCAGATGCTACTCAACAAACTCGGGTATACATCATTATCTTTATTAACTATATTGTGCTAACTGACCTAGATGTCCCCCAGGACTATGGTCCTTAATCTTCCAACCCAGTTACTCTGCTCTGCAAGATATTTAGTTATGTCTAAGAAGTTTCCATAACTATCCCCAATGTGCTTTGATGTATCTATATATTTATATGAATATACATGCAATATATACAAATATGTATGCAGAATTATCCACAAAGATGCCTATATATGCATGTGGGCCTACTCCAATATGACCCCTTACAACTAATTAATATACATATCTACCTATGTGTGCACTCACAAATAATATATATTTGTTATATATTATATTTGTTATTTGTCATTGCAAATGCAATTTATTCTCAGGTAATGTATTATTTCAGTTTTCATTTTTTTTTATTTTCTTTATAGTAAAAATGATCTTATAGATCCTGTATGTGGGGAAAAAATGTACATCAAATTCCAAGAGGAACAGAGGCTAAAGGATTATTAGATTCCAGAGGACCATAAACTAAGAGAACAAGGACCAGAATATGATTCTTGAGAAGCCAGGTAAGTTACAGCTGTGATGATGCATCTAACTTTATTGAGAATTTTCTTTGTGGCACATGGGTCTCCTTTTTTGCCTGAGTGAGACCATGAGTTGACAAGGATTATGAGAGCACCAGGCATGTGTGATGTGGCTGGTTGACCCTTCTTTTTAAACTACTGTACAATATGTTCTAGGTATATAAGCCAGTCTCTACTCTTGATCACTACCAACACTGACTGTCACCACCACCATCTCTTCTCTCATTTTGTCTAGGCACACAGAAATAAAGCACATATGTGGGTTAGAAACTATTCAAAAATATATCAACCTTCTGTGTGCCACTGAAAGGAATCATTTGAGATTATATATTGACTAAAGAAAGAAATGAAGAGATTATGGAAAGCTAGTATGGAAATCTGTCTTGCATGGAGGCAAGGAGATAGGTACTCATGGCTCAGGAAGCTCTGTATTCCCAAGAGTCCAAGGTAGGAAATAGAGGGTTGAATTAATTAAACAAAGTTGGCAAGTTTTCTGCTGAGTTTTGGATCAGGCCTCCAAAGTGATGGTTTACATACAAGGTTTCCCAGGCTGTGGGGTTGTGAAGATCACCTCTTGGGAAGTATTTCCTGGTCATGGTGGATTTAACATGCAATAGAGGTGAGAGGACAGCCTAGAGGGCCTGTGTGAAGCTGAAGTAGGGAAATGATAGAGATCATCCCTTTGATAGATGCTATCAGAAAGGACCCCTTGTGGGTTTCCTGGACATGAAGAAGGAGATATGCCCTGGCCAAGAAAAATTCTCCATTCTGGGGCCCACTTTGTTCATGCACATGTTCGTGCATTCATTTAATATTTATTTATTACCTCCAATGTGCCAACCACTGAATTTATGGAATATAATGATGAACAAGATATGCATAATTTTCCCAAGGACCTTATTTTAGTAGTCTTTTACATGTTAGCATAAAGAAAACAAAATTCCTCACAATTGGACCAATAAGCAACATCATGATAAATGGAGAAAACATTGACGTTCCAAGGATTTCATTTTAAGTGGATCCACAATCAACACCCATGGAAGCAGCAGTCAGGAAATCAAATAACATATTGCTTTGGGCAAATCAGCTGCAAAAGACTTCTTAAATGTGTCAAAGAGCAAAGATGTCTCTTTGAAGACTAAGGTGTTCTTGACTCAAGCTATGGTATTTTCAGTCACTTCATATGCATGAGAAAGTTGGACAATGAGTAAGGAAGATCAAAGAATTGATGCATTTGAATTATGGTGCTGGTGAATAATGCTGAATATACCATGGACTGCCAGAAGAACAAACAAATCTGTCTTGGATGAAGTACAGTCAGAATACTTCTAAGAAGCAAGGGTGGTGAGACCTCTCCTGTTCTATTTGGTCATGTTGTCAGCAGAGATCATTTCTGGAGAAGGATATCATTCTTGGTAAAGCAGAGGGTCAGTGAAAAAGAGGAAGACCCTCAATGAGATGGATTGACACCATGGGCCGCAACCATGGGCTCTAGTGTAGCAATGATTGTGAGGATGGCTCAGGACCAGGCAGTGCTTCCTTCTGGTTTACACAAGAATGCTATGAGCTGGAACCAACTCAATGGCACCTAACAACAACACCATTCTGGAAGACAAAAAACAACCACCACCACCCTCCCAAGTATTATATTACCATGTGAAAAGTGTTGGAATGATAAATGCAGATAAGAACAGCTGGAGCATCTGATCTCGCACTGGAAAGAGGTTTTTCGATGAAAATGTCCTTGAGGAAGTAACCTCAATGCTGAATTCCAACATGAATTGCATTCAGACAGGAGTAAGACAAGCTGATACACCATCTCCAATGTGCTCCAGCCTTCGTGATCAATAAGATTTTTACTTAAACATGATTTGTGGTAGTTTCCTTGGTTCAAGCTTTGTCACATTTCATGCCATTGTGTAAGATATCAAAACTAAAGTACTAAGTTCAGTTTGATGTTATGCCTGAGGCTGAGGAACTCAGGAGTCCATAGGAAAAGTGAAATTTGAGAGTAGTAGTGGTGAAAGGGCTACAGGCTTCTTCTACAGGAACAAGTGCCAGCACACCCCAAAAGAACTGGAGAGTTCTATGTGAGCCAAGAACTGAGGCAGCATGCAGGGTTTCTGATGTTTCTTCCAATGTGACTGAGAAGTCTTGTTGTTGTTGTTATGTGCCCTCGAGTTGGACCTGACTCATAGTGACCCCTCCTTGGGTTTTTGAGGTAGTAGCACTATGGAAGTAGATTGCCCAAAGACACTGGATTTTCCAGGATAGGAAGGTAAGAGAAGGACCTTGGCCAGGTAGCAGTCCCAAGCAACCATGGATAGAGGATAGCGGTATATTTCCTGAGGTGACTTACTGCAATTGATGTTTATCTATTCTGCACTAGGTTTTGCTCTGTATGCTTTTAATTTATTGTTCCTTTTTAGTTTTTGTATAGCTTAGTTTTAGTCTAATTTTAGTTTTTAATACTCTGATATTGATGTCAACAAAGTGTTTTTCTAGGCAGCTTTTGATGCTACTAGGTCTCAGATACAATGGAGACATTATAATTTAAATAAGAAAAAGTCAGCACTCTTAAGGCACAACTCAAGGAAGAACCTCATGTATATTTAGGGCAGTAAGAAAAAGACTTGGGGACCATAGGGTGTTACAATAGGCACTCAATGCTGTAAATCCTTGGACTGATTGGGGGCCTTTGGGCAGAACTTTCAGCCCCAGGATTCAGCGTTGCCCTTTCTAAGACCTAAGTACTTGATGAAGGCACGGCGGATCTCCTTGGTCTTAATACTTTATACGATTGGGTTAAGCATAGGAGGCACGAAGAGGTAGACATTGGCCATGAAGAGGTGGATAGCAGGTGGAGCTTGCTTCCCAAAGCGGTGTAACAGGGATAGGCCCATCATGGGCACAAAGAATACCAGCACAGCACAGATGTGTGAGGTACATGTTTGGAAAGCTCGAAGACGTTCCTCTTGGGAGGCCAGTCCTGCCACTGTATTCAGAATGAGACCATAGGACAGTGCAATGAGCACCAGATCCAGCATTACAGTGAACACTACCAGTGTGAGTCCATATAGATTGTTAAAAGTAGTGTCTGTGCAGGCCAGGTGTATCACTTCCTGGTGTAGGCAATATGAATGTGATAGGACTTGAGACCCACAGTAGGGAAAAGCTTTCAGGAGTAAAACAATGGGAACAAGGGCCACAGGACCCCGGAGGATGATGACCAGACCTACTCTAACCACTCGTTGGCTAGTAATTATGACTGAGTATCTCATGGGTTGGCAGATGGCCACAAAGCGATCAAAGGACATTACAAGGAGAACTGAAGACTCCATGAAGGAAAATGAATGGATGCAGAACATCTGGATTTGACAGGCTTCAAAGTAGATCTCATGATAGTTGAACCAAAAGATCCCAATAGTGGTGGGCAAGGTGGACACTGAAAGTCCCAAGTCAGTGAGGGCCAGCAAGGACAGCAGATAGTACATGGGTGTATGTAGGTGAGGGTTAGTCTTAATGATTATCAGGATGAAACAGTTGCCTGAGATGGCTACTAGGTATATAAAGAGAAAGGGTATGAAAATCCAGTGTTTGATGGCTTCCAATCCAGGAAAACCAGTGAGGTAAAACATAGGGCTAAACCAAGTGATGTTGGACAAGGCCATGAATTGAGGTCTGAAGAGATATTGGTCTGACATTCCTTCAGGACTGAGCTGAAAATAAATGAATACATTTGGTTATTTATTCTTCTATTTCACTACCATTCTCAACATTATAAACAACATCACAGTCATCAATATCTCCAATATCATCTACTCCACTATTATCAATTCCACCACCATCATGACCTTATTGAAAATTTCTTTCCTTCTCTATTTCTAGTTCTTCTCAGTTTCCTTTGCTGACTTCTCTTCTTTGCTCAGACCTTAAATATAACTTTTCTCATTCTTGGCTATTTTCTGGCAGTACACTATTATCTCTTCTCAGGCAATTTCATCCATTGCCACGAGTTCATTTACCATCCATGTGTTGGTAAATATTACCTCTCAACTCTATCACTTCCTTTTTCTTCTCTTTTGATTCCAAGAATCATGTATCTAACAGCATGCTGAGGATGTTCACCTAGCTGTTTCATAGTTATCTCAGAAGCATGTCAAAAGTTTAGTTTATCAACTCTTTCACAACAGCTTTCTATTTTGTGTATGTTCATTCTCTCTGTTATAAGTCAAAATTTAAGTTTCATATTTGACTTCTCTATATAGGAGTTCTGGTAACTCCGACTCCATGGCAGTGGGGGATATAACACCTTAGGAGCTCTGGTGGCATAGTGCCTAAGGCATCTGACTGCTAACCAGAAGGCTGGTGGTTCAAACCCACCAGCCACTCCTCGGAAAGAAGGTTGGGCAATCTACTTCCATAGTGATACCGCCTTGGAAACCCAAGGAGGAGTCGCTATGGGTCAGGTCTAATTCCATGGCAGTGCATTTGGATTGTTTTTTATATAACACCTCTGCCCAGTACCCAGTCAATTACCAATTCTTGGGATTCCATCTACTAAGCACCTCTTATATCTGTCTAGTTAACCATCATCTTCTCTGATGCTGTCCTAATTCAGATCACTGTCCTTCCTAGATTATTCAGTCTCTAATTACTGTTTTCTAATTTGTTCACTACACTATAGCAACAGCGATATTTATAAAATCAAATTTGAGCTGAGGTGTAAATGGTTTAAAATGACATCCAAGCCTCTGCCTGATCTTAAACCCACTTGTATTCTCTATTGTAGTTTATCTTCCTTATCGCCTTCATATTTTATGGTGTCAACAATGTTAAGCAGTTCTTCCAGTTTCTCCATTGTTCACAGTCACATACGTACAAGCACTTGTATTTTCCTTCTTCCTGTAATGAAAACTATTCTTCCTGAAATATATCTTCCTTATTCTTTGCTTAGCTAACTCCTATTTACACACCTTTCTCAGTTTAGACATTTTCTTCTTCAGTGAGCATTATTGAATTCTTCAAATTTTTGTTGGATGTCCCTTGTACGTGCTCCTATTGCATGCTGTATTTTCACAGTGTTCTCTATCTCTCTCTTTTTTTTTTTTCTTCTGGATATTTGCTCTAAAGCGTAAACTTCTTGTGGATAGAAATCATATATGTCTTCTTTTATAGGTTTCTTTTGATTTCAGTTTTAGAGATTGGCTTAATGGTCAACCTCACTATATGTTTACTGCATTAAAAAAAAAAAAAAAAAAAAAAACAAGTGATTGAATGCGTAGAGTACTCACATCTTGTCCTGGTTACTTGTGCCTGGAGTCCTGTGCTGAGCTCCGTTAGGGATAGTTTCAGAGTAATAAGAAGGGCGTGGAGAGGGATCTGGTTTCAACCAGTAGTCTTAGACAGACAGTGACCAGGCTGGAAAGGAAGTTCTGGAGAGTTTCTCCTGAAATGAAAGACTAAGAAAGATGCAGAGGAGTCCATTTATTAGCACAAGGATATTGACAGTTTTATCATGATGTACAGAGAAGAGGAGATACAAGTGAGACCTGAAAAGGACATTCTTGAAAAGAGTGATAGATATTCACTGAGTGCTTAGCTCTCTACCTTCTTTATATATTATAACTACTATTTTATTTTGGTTTAATATTTGCTAAATATTTAAATCAACAATCGGTGTTTTTAATGAGTATAGAAAAAAAACCTCACTGCTGTGGAGTCTATTCAACTCATAGCAACCGCTCCTTGGGTTTCCGAAGCAGTATCTCTAAGGAAGTAGATTGCCCAATCATCCTTCTGAGGAGTGGCTGGTGGGGTTGAACCACCAGCCTTCTGGTTAGCAGTCAAATGTCTTAGGCCCTGCACCACTGAGTATTAAAATGTGCAAATAAAGCCTTGCTTAAAAACATAGACTTGAACCAGGGAGGACATTGCCATACTAATCAAGCTCCTTTGTTAACATGCCTATTGTGACCAGGGTGGAAGGGGACTTTGGAAGAGGAAAAGCATATCCTGCTACTGGGAAAAATCACAGGGAGCTGTGTATTAATATAAGCATTCATTGAGAACATAATCCTGACCATGTCCTAGAGAATGTCTTGCTAGGTATAAGATAGCAGCACAAATGCTACTATTATTACCATCAACAACAACTCTTACTACTATTTTGGGTCATTTATAACAAATGAAATGGTGTAACAGTTATCATAGTGCAATGTAAGAAATGAAGGTAGCAAGTTATATAAGCAGTGGAGAGTCATTTGTTCATCTAGGATGGTCAGACTAAGATCTGAACTGATTATGAAAATCAGACAGGAGTGAGGTGACGTTTTTCCAAGAGAAGGAGTAGAGAAACATGGCCAGAAAGATGAGGGTATTTGTTATGTTTTTAACAACTATGAAGTTTGTTAATACTCAGACATCATCTTCAATATTGGAACGGGATAGTAAAGTTAGGCAGGGACAAGACTGATGAGAGCTAGGCAGGCAGGAATACACAGGTAAGAAAGACATAGGGAAGAAGTAGCCACAGGGAAGAGGTGAGAGGAGAGCTGGTTGTGGGGATTGTAATCAGTGTTGCTAAACAAAATGTGTTTGAACTATTGAATGTAAAATGAATTTGTTTTGTAAAATTCCACCCAAATAACAATAAAAAGTTTTTTTTTTAAATAGTTTATATGGCATGTCAGAGATTATATGTATTTTGATGACTGTGTCTTAAGAAGGCCAGTGTGACAGTATTATGATTTTATGTAGTACTTTATTAAGAATATGAAGAAAGGATTTAAAGTCTGTACTGATGACATATTATTTTGGTCTTTGGATCTTGGCAAGGATATTTAATAGTTTTTCATGTAGCCATAAAGTATGATTGACCTGCCACATAACCAGAGCTTTGTAATATTTGTTTTATTAATATTTTTAGTAGCATCCATATAACAGTATATAATAACTGAGGAGCCTAATCTCAACCAGTAGTTATCTAAAAATCAAACCAAACCCTATTAGTTCTTTTTGCTTCTTTATTCCCTTAAATGATATGGTTTACTTAATCATTTCTCAAGATAATCCTCTTTGTATGTTCACTGAAATTGCATTAAAATTCTAATTAATTTTCATTCACTGTGAATCTACTGAGTGCCTACTCTGTGTGTATGTAGGGGAAACAAAGTATGGTTTTTGATTGATAAATATGGTATAATCTTGTTTGGTTGAAATTCATGAATTGGTAAAGAAAATAGACTGGAAAACAAAACAAAAAAATATGACAAGCCCAGATCAGAAAGAGAGAGCTGATTCCTTAAATCTTCCCAGAGTAGGTGGATACGGTGGGGACAACTCAGAAGCAGTCCTTGGCTCATCTCCGTTCCCTTGGATGATGTTGGAATTGTGAGAATATAGAATGGCATGAATGTGGGTATGTGATGATTAGTGGAGTGTAGATATCAGTGTGTCCATGTGAGTCATTCAGGCCTTATCTGAATGTATCAGAATCATTGTTAAAATTATCAGTGCACTTGCGTGCTTATTTACAAATGTACCAATGTGTTGATACGTGTATGTATATTGTTGTTGTTATGTGCCGTGGAGTCAGAGCCGACTCATAGCAACCCCTTCTTGGGTTTCCGAGGCGGTATCCCTGAGGAAGTAGATTGCCCAAATTTCCTTCTGAGGAGTGGCTGGTGGGTTTGAACTGCCAGTCTTCTGATTAGCAGTCAAATGCCTTAGGCACTATGCTACCAGATCTCCTATGTATGTATGTATGTATGTGTGTGTGTATATATATATATATATATATATATATATATATATATGTTGTTGTTGTTATGTGCCGTCGAGTTGGCCTCGACTCATAGCGACCCCTCCTTGGGTTTCCGAGGCAGTATCGCTACGGAAGTAGGATTGCCCAACCTTCCTTCCCAGAAGTGGTTGGTGGGTTTGAACTGCCAGCCTTCTGGTTAGCAGTCAAGTGCTTTAGCCACTATGCTACCAGAGCTCCTTCTCTAGTGCATAAACAAAATAAATGTATCCATGCAGTCACTCCTCAGAAGGAAGATGGGGCAATCTACTTCTGTAGTGATACTGCCTCCGAAACCCAAGGAGGGGTCGCTATGAGTTGGGTCCGACTCCACGGCAAACAACAACAACAACAACATGCTCACATAAACCTATATAAACCCCTGAACCTGATGATGAGAGAAGATACTTTTTTTCCCCCCTCCACTTCCTCAGACTTTATGTGATAACTTCACAAGACATAGATTCTGCTCTGGGACTTTTGACTAATACCAATTGGCACAACTCTGTGAATGAGCTAATTTTGTACCCTAGGTGCCTGGCTTGCCTCATCCTAGTCCCATGTAAGTAGATACTTGTAAAGTTCTGTATTAGGCAGGGAAAGAAGAGAGAATGATATATTTTTATGATCATTTCAGTAGCTACTGAAGTATTTCTAATAATGATGGATTAATCCTCTTGGAAGATGATGTGAAAAGACAAAATTTCATAGGCTATTGAGATTCTGGGTCAGATCACTTGGTTCAATTCCAGCCATATAACATCAAGCAAGTTATTAATTCTCTCCCTGCTTCACTTGCTCCAATAAAATATGTTAATATATATTATTATAAAATATATTAATATATGATTAAGATGGATTTTGAAAGAATCATGAAATAATAATTCCTGAATAAATCAAAGA